CACCAAACAATCTCTAAAGTAAATAAACTGAAAATAAACCAATTGCCCAGGTAATAGGAGATTTTCTTCTTGTCTGCGCTGGTAATTGAGCCACTGTAGCCAACCTCCTACTTCTCCTGGTGCTGCTGTGAGATAAAAAGAAAGTGAAGGAAGCTACCCAGACAGAAGCACAAATACAGGCTCTGGGAGGAGGGCACCCACGCCTGATGGTCTTCACACCCCTACAGCATGTGTGCTAAACCTCACCCTCCTCATGTTTCCTCCCAGCCCAGTACAACGCAGAATTCCACAGACCCAGGGGAGAGCCGGGAGCAGAGGGCAGGTGCTAAACCAATCCAGCCACATGCTGGGCATCCCTGGGGAAGGCACTGTTTCCATCCTGCCGCAACTTCTCAGGCCCAGCCTCATGTTCTATCTGTCCCTTATGTGAATAAGGCGTCTTCAGCACAGGTAGTGGGGACATGAATATGAACCACAGTCAAAGCCTGCCTGTTCCTACCTCCCTGCATCTCCTAGAAAAACCCGCGGCATCTCCCTAAGTCAGGCTCCTTCTGCCACTGAATCTGCACTGAGGCTGCTGCCTCAGCCGACTCAGCCCAGAATGTGTCACCAAACAGGCAGGAAAAGAAAGTGCCCTGCTAACATCTGAGAAAGCTGCGGGGAGGGAAGGGGCTAGGAGCCAGCGCAAGATGACACAAAGAGAATGTAATGTCGCCAGAGGAATCTGTCATAAAAGAAAATTCTACGTTCCTCAAGCAGAAGAGGTCTCTGAATGTAACTGTCCATCACACAGTGGTGCCTTCTAGTTGCCCCAGGCTGACGAGGTCCCTTAGGAACCCAATCCTAACACTGGCCTTCACAAAGTCCCTCCTTCCTATGCCTAACCCAGCCATAGGACCTCATTGACTTAGTCCGAAAGGGCAGAGTGGTTACAAGGGAAGGATGAGCTAGAAGGTACAGAACTGAGGCCGGGACCCTTCCGAAGGAGGTGTGGGCGAAGAACAAAACCTACTGGGTGTTTCCTCCCCTATGACCTCAGCCTCATCTGTAAACACTTTTTTTTTTTTTAAATCCAGGTGAAGGTATGCCACATTGACATTTAAAGCAAGTGTCAAGAGAAACAAAGACCCGAAAGTCAGTATGCTGAGTGCTGGAAGAGGAGAAGGGGACTCTCTTCCTTGTCTTGACGCTGTCAGTGAATAGGCAGCCAAGGTGGTATGATGCTTAAGGCACAGGCTCTGGAGTGGCCAGACTTCCTGGCTTCTAATCCTGCCTCCACCATTTACGGGTGGTGTGACCATGGGCATGATACTTCATCTCTCTGTTTCTCGGTTTATTCTTCTATAAAATGGGAATGAGAACAGCACTCACTTGTCTGTGTTGTTGTGAGGCTCAAGTAAGCAAATATACGTACCACCATTGGAACCATGTCTAGCACTTAATGTGTGCTGGTTGTCATAAGGGTGACTAGTTTGCCCGGGACATCCTGGCATATGCCTGTTGTCCCAGCATAATTATTAATACCCTTGCTTTCACTCTCCTAAGTTTTCTATGTTGGACAATAAATTATAAAGCTGACTAGCTCTTGTCTGTTCTAAGCCCAACTGGTTATCTCCCTGCTTCATGCTGCCTCTCTGAGCAGAGGGGAGCCCAGGTTCCCAAAATGCAGGTCTCCAAAGGCAGCTTTGCCCATGGCACCGAGTTGTCTGTGCCATAAACTCAGATTTTCCTTTCTTCCTTTTTCTCTTCCCTTTGTCTCTCCTCCTTCTTCCATGACTATCCTCTCCTTTTCTGCCTTTTCTTTGTGCCTTAGGGTTCTGGTATTTCACACAGGTACCTTTTGAGCTTAAAAATAATGCTGCTGTCGAGTCTGACTCATGGTGAACCCACGTGTGTCAGAGTAGAACTGTGCTCCATAGTTTTCAGTGGCTCATTTTTTGGAAATAGACTGCCAGGCCTTTCTTCTGTGGTGCCTCTGGGCAGACTCAAACCTGCTCTTTCAGTTAGCAGCAGAGCACGTTAACTGTTTGTACCACCCAGGGACTCCTTTGACCTGACTCGTATTTGGACAGGATGTTTTCTGACTCTCTAACTAAACTGTGCCTTATCAACTTTCTCTTAGAGGAAAGTAAACAATTTGAGAAGTCAAAGAAATTACTCAGCAGATAGGCAGATGACTGGAAATCATGTACGGCTTTATGCATATATTTGTGTGTGTGTGTGTGTGTGTGTGTGTGTGTGTGTGTGTATGTGTTGTTCAAGGGAAAAAAAGAGAATACCAGCTCTGCCATTCACTAACCACTGGGTCAAATACTGAGATTCTCCAAAGCCTCAGTTTCTTCATCTGTAAAATACAGCAGACTTGTCCCTAGAGCGCCCTGATTCTGTGACATTGTAACAGGCCCTGGCCCCACTCTCAGGCCCTGAATGGCACTCATGGAATTCCACAGTATTCTGCACCTGCATCTTTAGGACCAGTCTAACTCTTCTATGGGGGAAGCATGAGGAAATCAGGGCCTGGGAAAACATGACAACCTGAACGAATTCTCATCCAGGGAGTCATGGCAAGTGCACGAGTCCCCTCTGCATCACAACAGGACACACAATCGTTCCGTGTGGAATAAAAGTGAGGCAGTGACATAAACTCAGTGACTGACTGTCCAGGTCCTGGGGGAATCCCCCACTAGACCTGCCTCAGCCAGCTTCTCCTAGCCACCTTGTCAGTACCTGAGAGCCTGCAGGTTCCACCCCCCTTCCTCACAGCAGGCTCGGCAATGGTCACGACACTGAGCCACGGGAGAGGGTGTGCAGGGCTGACAGCCACCATGGCCCCTCTCCCAGTGGTGGGGCCTGCCTTCTGTGGGCTCAGCATGGCACCGCTACAGGCTGACACGTCTACCAATCATCCACCAAACCAGACCCTGTTCCTGGGGTTTTGCTTCCATTGGTGGCATCACCAGCCATCCAGGCTCTGAAATCCATACCTCCACCATCATGAGCTCCTCTCTACTCTTGCCCATGACATTTACTTAGTCACCAAATTGGATCTATCTCCTCTTTCTCTGGGTTCAAATCCCTGCTCTACCACTTATTTGCTGTGTGACCTTGGAAAAGTTGCTTAACCTCTCTGACTCTCAGTTTCCTCCTCTACAAAATGAGAACAATAATAATAATCTTCTCATAAGATTGTTGGGAGAACTAAATGAAGTTATATGTGAAAATCCCCTAGCTCAGCTCCTGGTATGTAACAGATTACTTCTCTTGCCACCCGCCCTTCTCCCCCTGCCCCACACCCTGTTAGCAATATGTCTGGTGATGCCCCTTTCTCTCCATTCCCACCAACCCTGTTCAGCCCCACCTGATCTCTTTCAGAGTGCTGCAATCGTCTCTTTCCCAGGTTCTTCTCTCCAGCTTCATCCCTGCAGTATATTCCATATATCGCCTCTGGATAACAAGTCCTCCTGAAGCCAGGCCCAATATCATCATTTTCATTCTCAGAAATTGTCAAAATATCTCCAGGCCTAATATAAAGTTCAGGTTCCCTAACCTAACATTCACGGCCTTCCACCATTTGATCCTAAACACTGTCCCTCACTGTACTGTCCACTATTCCCCATACATAGTTCACTTCCATGACTTTGCTCGGGTGTCCCTCCCCATGATATGCCCAGACCCAGCCTCCTCATTAAGGCCTGGCTTGAGTGCCACCTCCAGGATGCCAACTCTGATTCACTCCTTCCAGAAGTGATTGATCTCCCTCCCCCAAGTGCCCTCTAAACTCATGGCATATACTCTTTAAGGTACAGTAGTGAGAGGGCAGGGACCCCAGGGGGCATCAAGGCCGGGCCTCTCTGAAATACATGAAGTGTCTAATTTATCAATTGAAAGAGATGCCTGCAGTAGCTCTCGTGGGCAAACACTATCCCATGAAGTCAGATACTGTTAATTTCACTGGAAAAGGGACATGAAACCTGGACCCTCAAGCTAAAATTCAGATTCTATATGGAGTAGGCTGCCCTGGTTTCACATTCTTGATAAAATGATTCCTTGGTATGTGCTGGTTTCTTCCAGAGACAGGGAACTCACTACCTCATGAGTTAGGTTTTTCCTACTGAACTCTGACCACCATGGCGATTCCCATCCTTTGGCCCCCTCTACCCTCAGGAGTCACACAGAGCCAATTCATCAGGGACTCCTGGCATCCTCACAGAGCACACTGCATAAATGACAGACATATGGATTCAGAGGGCTTTCCCATGTGCTAGGGCAGATTCACTGCATCCCGTGCACACACATGAACACACGCACACACATACCTGGGCCAGAGTCAGCAAAGGCCAGCTGAGTCACTGCCAGACCACAACACAGACAGGGGCCAGGAAGGAAGTGAAGCCCCGGCAGCGGCCCATTTCCTGACTTTCTTTCTTTGCTCTGGGAGGTTCTCTTTCTGTCATTTTTTTTCTTTCTGACTCAGTCTTTCTCAGCTCTTTGTTTCTACGCATGGCAACAGTGGTGGCTGCTGCCCTGGCCCACGTGGCAAGGGCTCCTAGAAGCAAGGACTTGCAAGACAGGAGTTTTGGTTCCTCGACCTGTGACCCCCGGCAAGTCACTTCACCGCTCTGAGGCTCAGTTTTCCTCATGTATAAAATGAAGAGGCTGGGTGTGGCTAAAGAGCCTCAGAGGTTCCTTCCTGATCTAAACTCCAGCGCTTCTCCCTCCTCCAGTCCCCTTCAGGGCACTGGGCTAGGTCCGCCAGGGGTTAACTGAGGGCGGAAATCGAAGACCAGGCCTAGGGACAGGGGTCGGGAGCCCTGCTGTCCCGACCCCGACCCCGGGGCACACGCACTGCTTCTGGCCAGGCCCTCCCGTGAACTCCATGTGCTGCACACATAGATGCCCACACTTTCCTACCTGGGAGGCAGGCAGGAAGCCCCCGCCTCCCGGGCTGCAGTGGGTAGAAGGCCACGGGAGCGCCCATCCCGCAACCTTCCTCCAGTTACCTTGGCGTCGCCGCCTGCGCCCCTTCCCTTGCACCTGCCCGCGCGGAACCCCTCGGCTCACAGCTGTCCCGCAGCGGCTGGCCCGGCGGGCTGCTCCGCCCAGCTCTCTCCGCCCCTAAGCCGCGCGGTCGGGACCAGCCCCCAGGGGCGCTGAAGTGGAAGCGGCTCCCTCTGAACCCCGCTGCCGCCGCGCCGCCACCGCCCCCTGGGCGCCCTCCGTTATCTGCGCGCGCCAGTGCGGTGGAGTCCGGACGGGTTAGGAGGCGACCCCAGAGTGCCCAGGAGCCTGATTTAGGCTGCTGCAGCTGCCGTCTTAGACTACCTGCCTGGTCAGGCTTCCTGGGCCCCTCTGTTCCCGAGTTCCTTAGGTCCCTTGCCCTGATTCAGGGGTGTTTGCAGGTTCCAGAGGCAGGCGGAGCATCAATCAGGGGTCTTGCTGGCCCACTGGGCAGATCGGGCATCTAGATATGGATCCCTGAAAGCCAGGCAACATCCAGGCTCACTCTAGCTGTTGTCTCTGGAGAGAGAAACGAAAGGGGACTCTTTTTTTTCCCTTTATACTTCTCTGTCTTTTCTACATATCCTGCTGTGTGCACGAATGCTTATATAATAAGAAACAATCAACACAGATTTATTAATACAGCATTAGATAAATCTTCAAAGGCCTCCCCAGGCATTCAGGCTAAAGATTAACCCCTCAGCCTGGTACCAGGACCTTCCTGCACAGTATGTGGCCACAAGCTAATTTTCCAGCCTCATCCCTTCTCCCCTAAACATGCACATACGCAACTGCTATAGGTAAACACTGGCTGTTGCCAACCCCCAGCTGTCCTTTATGGCTGGTCTTGCTTTGCTTGGAATGCCCCCTTTCTTCCCTGCCTGTTGAACTCTTACTCATCCATCCAGGCCCAACTTAAATGTCACCTTCAGATACTGCCTTCAAGAGAACATCTCAATTCCTTCTCGGGGAGCCCGTCATTCTCTTGCTGGTTTGTATGTTAGTCCCGCCCCAGCCTCCACATACTGAGCCCTGTCCCAGGACAGATGGAAACAAATACACACTTACTGAGCAGCTGTTATGTGTTCAGAGCCTTGCACAATGCCCCAGAAGGTACTGAATTAAATTGCCGTGTGGTGCCCTTGCCTCTCCTTACAGCCTAGCTAGCCAGCTAGCCCACAACCTCCTCCCACCCCACCACAGCACAAAGACTGCACCAAACCACTCTCCTCATCAGAGTTTCAGAAGGCTGTCCAGGTGCCCCCTCCCCCAGTTCTCCTTCTGGTATGCCCCAGCCCTGGGCACTGGTCTCTTCTGTCCCTGTTCTGGGGTATGCTTGCTGTACTAGCCCCTAAGGCAAGGGTGGGTTGTATTCCACCTCTTACTCTCTGTACTGCTAAGGCACACAAGTTTGACGGCTGACCTAGGTAGCAAAGCAGGCTGTGCTGAATGGCTTGCCCTTCTCTCTGCCCTGTGTGAGGAAAGGAGGGCCTTTCATTATCAGAATTTGAGAAGTGAAAGGGACCTTAGAGATTATCAGATGCAAAGCCCACCCACCCCTATTTTACAGAGGAAAAAACTGAGGCCAGAGTGGCCTCCAAAGAGGTACCTGATTGTTGTTAAATGATATTATTAATACTCTTACCTTGCAGGTTTAGATTGCCTTACAATTCTAAAGGAATTCCACATGTTGATCTCATCTGTCCCTTACAGCCCAATAAGATATTAAGATACTGGTGGTTAAGCGAAAACTCTGGAGCCCGATGATCTGGGTTTGAACCTCTGTGTCCCAACTTGTCAGCTATGACCTTAGCAAATTACTGAACCATTCTTCATTGCTAAAATGTTATAATGGTTATAAAATTAATAATTGTTTCAGCATCATAGGCTTTAAAAGGCTTAGAACACTAGCTGGTATGTAAAAAATGCCAAATGTGTTTGCTCTTATAGATATTTTTGTTATTTTTAATTTTATTATTTCACAGGTGAAGTAACTCAGGCTTAGAAAGACTGAGACTCATCCTTGGAATCACTGCTACTAGGGGCTGGTCTCCTCACGAAACTCCATGCCATCTTTGGTTCTGCTTCCTGTCCACTCCCACCATGAGGAGGGACAAAACTCCCCATGTATCCATGTCTAACTACAACTATTTTATGTTGTTGGTGCTGTTCTTAGGTGCCACTGAGTCAGTTCCAACTCATAGCAAAACACCGCCCACCCTGTCCTGCACCATCATGACAGTTGTTGCTATGTTTGAGCCCATTGTTGCAGCCACTGTGTCAATCCATCTCCTTGAGGGTCTTCCTCTTTTTCAGTTACCCTCTACTTTACCAAGCATGATGTCCTTCTCCAGGGACTGGTCCCTCCTGATAACATGTCCAAAGTACGTGAGACAAAGTCTCCCCATCTTTGCTTCTAATGAGCATTCTAGCTATATTTCTTCCAAGACAGATTTGTTCACTCTTCTGGCAGCCCATGGTATATTCAATATTCTTCACCAACACCGTAATTCAAAGGCATCAATTCTTCTTCGGTCTTCCTTATTCATTGTCCAGCTTTCGCATGCATTATGAGATGATTGAAAATACCATAGCTTGAGTCAGGCACACCTTAGTCCTCAAAGTGACATCTTTGCTTTTGAACACTTTAAAGGGGTCTTTTGCAGCACAGTTGCCCAATGCAATACATTGTTTGATTTCTTGCCGGTTGCTGCCATGGGCGTTGATTGTGGATCCAAGCAAAATGAAATCCTTGACAACTTCTATCTTTTCTCCATTGCTACTTATTGGTCCAGTTGTGAGGATTTTTGTTTTCTTTATGTTGAAGGCTGAAGGCTGTAGTCTTTGATCTTCATCAGTAATTGCTTCAAGTCCTCTTCATTTTCAGCAAGCAAGGTTGTGTCATCCGCATATCACAGATTGTTAATGAGTCTTTCTCCAATCCTGGCACCATGTTCTTCTTCATATAGTCCAGCTTCTTGGATTATTTTCTCAGCATACAGACTGAATAAGTATGGTTAAAGGATACAACCCTCATGCACACCTTCACTGATTTTAAACCACGAGGTATCCCCTTGTTCTGTTCGAACAACTGCCTCTCGGTCTATGTACAGGTTCCTCATGAACACAATTAAGTGTTCTGAAATTCCCATTCTTCACAATGTTATCCATAATTTGTTATGATCCACACTGTTTAATGCCTTTGCATAGTCAATAAAACACAGGTAAACATCTTTCTGGTATTCTCTGCTTTCAGCCAGGATCCATCAGACATCAGAAATGATAGCCTTCATTTCATGTCCTCTTCTGAATCCATCTTGAATTTCTGGAAGTTCCCTGTCGATGTACTGCTGTAAATGCTTTGGAAAGATCTTCAGCAAACTTGTATGTGATATTAATGATATTGTTCAATAATTTCTGAATTCTGTTGGATCACTTTTCTTTGGAATGGGCACAGTTATGGATCTCTTCCAGTCAGTTGGCCAGATAGCTGTCTTGCAAATTTCTTGGCATAGATGAGTGAGCACCAGGGCTGCATCCATTTGTTGAAACATCACGCTTGGTATTCCATCAATTCCTGGAGCCTTGTTTTTGGCTAGTGCCTTCAGTGCAGCTTGGACTTCTTCCTTTAGTACCATCAGTTCTTGATCATATGCCACCTCCTGAAATGGTTGAACATCAACAAGTTCTTTTTGGTACAGTAACTCTGTGTATTCCTTCCATCTTCTCTTTTTTTATGTTTTTTTAATATATCTTTTTTTTTATTGTACTTTAGATAAAGGTTTACAGAACAGTTTCTCATTAAACAATCAGTACACATATTGTTTTATGACATTAGTTAACAACCCATGACATGTCAACACTCTCCCTTCTTGACATTGGAGGACCTTTTTTCTTTCTTTCTTTCTTTTTTTTGCTGAAAATATACATAGCCAAAGTTACACCATTTCAAAAGTTTCTACATGTACAATTCAGTGACACTGATTACATTCTTCCAGTTGTGCTGCTATTCTCACTATCCTTTTCCAAATTATTCCATCACCATTATCTTCAACTCGCTGCCCC